TTTATGAAATAAATAACAGAAAAATAATAGCAACGATCTCGATTAGGTACTCTGTACAATCTGGAAGTAAAGATGGTTTAAAAAAGTCTAGTTATCGTTATCGTTGTTCAGAAATGTACGGATAGAATTTAGTTGCGCGATGATAATAAAAAGAATGGGTGATTTTGTCTATCGGAGGAAATTACATTACCCTCCGTGTGTAGCGAATATATGTAGTATGTATACATGCCCAGTTTTCGGAGGTCTTGGAAACCACAAGATCTTATTGATTTTTATACATATCCCTGGTGGGTGTGAGCGGGTGGACGACCAATTTTTCGTGTGTACGTGCGTTTGTGTGTTTGCGAACGAGAGTAGGGGTTAGCTGTGTGTCATTTACTCATTGGTTGTTGGCTGGGGAAAGGTAGAAATAGTGTTGCCTTCCATCTTTCCTTTTCAAACCGTCCACTCCGGCCATCGACCGAAAGAAACATTGCGTTTTCGGATCGTGCTCCTCCATTCACTGAAAAATCGTCCAACCTACATATTTCTTTTCGTTTGCCCGTCAAATATTATCCCTCGCTACACTCTTCGGAACATCATCATCATCATCATCATCATCATCGTCGAGAGAAAGAAGGAATTTTATTTTTTTCCAATGAAAAAGTTTCGTTATTAGATAGGGAACCGGATACGGTCTCGTCTCACGTGTACCTTTTTCTCTCGATAAACAGCGAAGAGAGTGGGACGCGCGAGCAATTTGTCACATTCGGTTTGTCCGGACACCCTTTGTACAGAGTGGAAAATTTCTAGTAGCAGCACCCTTTAAAACACGAAACGGTGGAGAAGTTGATCGATTCGACCGACAGACGATCGAGCAGATTGAATTATACAACTTGGTATCCTGTGAACAGGCTCGAAGAAGGTGTTGCCAAAGAAATGAAAAACATGAAATTATAAAAATAAAAAATAATCTTTTCTCGTACATAACGCGTCCCGAATACGCTTGCTCTAAATAGTAACAAAATAATAAATGAAATATACATACGATAATGAATACAAACGTCAAGTATCAAATAAAAAGAATATTCGTTACTTCCGCAGTCTTATATGTATAAAAATATACGATCGATCTTCTATCAATAAATCATTCGAGGTTAGTTGTCATATATGTATATGTATATCTATAGATATATGTATATGTTTTTCTTCCGACTATATCGAGTGACTAGATCAGTGTTCGGAATTGTGACTCGTTATGAAAATGACTAGATGAGCTAAAAGTAATTTTTCTAGATACGCGGAACACTTGTATGAAACGTTACGCTTATCAAACCACTTATTCTCGTTATTATAGTATAGTACATATTTTCTTTATATGTGTATATGTATACATATGTATACACATATATATTTCTTTTCTTTGTCATTTATATGCGAAACGGTCTTAATTCGAGTACTTATTTATAAACATATATACCTATGTCACGCACATGCACACGCGCACCCACACAGATACACATACACATTAATACAGTTTGTGTTCTAAGTTTTTGATTTATAGGGGAAATATTTGATTTTGCGCTCAATTACGTTAATGAAGGCAATGCTAGTTTCTCGGGACGACATTTTTCGTTAACATAACTCTCCCGATATCGGATCGTCATGATTTTCTCTGCGCGGTAGGCAATAGTGAATATGTACCCGTAAAATATTGGCCAAAGCAAGAAGAAGAAGAAGAAGAAGAAGAAGAAGTAAGAAAGTAAGGTGGTAGCGTATTAGTTAGCGATATAGAGTAGAGTACCCACTTGGTCGAAATTTAACGAAATAAATTGCAACCGATGCACACCGAAAACCATGACGCCCTGGTGGACTCGTTGTTCGATTTATTATCGACTGCGAGTCGTTAGAATAATTAAAATTTACGACCCTCGTGATCGCGCACGGACCATTAAATGCACAATATGCGTATTTCCATGGGATGCAATTAAGAGGGTACCGATTTACATGGACGCACGCGTTTTGCATGTCACACCGTGCGTTATCGTATGTTATGCACGTGGGGTGAGAAAAATGGACAAAAGGAGAGAGAGAGAGAAGGCCGGGAAGCGTGCACTTTCGACACATACTAGGCAGTTATAGGCGCGTGCGCGCACACGCGTATATCGTCTTTCCCCTCCCTTAAATTCGTTTCTCTGGGACTTTTTCGGAAAAATCCCGGCCAAGGTCGTAACCTCTTACTCTCTGACCTTCCCACAAGGGGACCAGATGTGGGACTGCTTGGCCAGGCCCATCTCGTCCGCTCGACAATACCGTTAAAAATTCCATTTTCCCTACCAAAACTTATCCCCGTCCTTTTCTTTCATTTTCACTCCGACAGGCTCTTCTCCTTATTTTCCTATCCCCCATCCCCCCTCCCCCCTCCTCTAGCTTTTGCTTTCAATGGATTAGTAATGGCCGATTCCTCTCGTCCCCTAAAATATGGTAATGCACGCGTGCGCGCATACTAATTCAACCGAATTTACGCTGGAAAGCACGGACGAACCCTGTTAAATGACGCGGTCGTTCTCGAATTTCAGCTGTTCCGGGGAAATTTTTATGGACTTTGAGACAAAGGTCGTGTTTGGCTGGTCGGTCGGTCGGTCGGGCGGTCGGGCGGTCGGGCGGTCGGGCGGTCGGGCGGTCGGTCCATGCCATGCCGTATATTATGCACGTATGTATGCAGCTACCATAAATCGTGATCGCGCGGAAACGCGTTTCGGTCTGCCGAATATACCCACGTACAACGAGTAGTTTGCTTTTTCTTCCGTCAATTCAGTGTTTTCGAAACTTTCGCGTTACATTATTCCGTTGGCAGTTTGTAAAATAAATAAACATGAGATGATAACTATACGTGAGTCAGAATATCGTAGTTCGTTAAAGAAATAGGAGAAAGTATGTAGTCGAAACGAGCCGCGTTATTATTTCATAATCCAAGGTCAACATCGCGTGGGCGTGCAACGAGGGTGGAAACGTAACTCGCGTGTTTGTTCATCGAAGGGACGAAGACCCTACCGGTACAAGGAACACATTTTGGGAGGCGAGTTAAGTCTGAAACGGCTGCGCACGCCCACTGTAAAAACAGCTGTCTTTTGGAATATTTCGATCAAATGTTCACTGACCGTTACCCGAAAAATTCAAAACGAAATAAAATACCGCTCGACCGATCGTCGTGCATCATTTTACGTCCGTTTATTCCGACAAGAATTATTTCAATCGGAACAGAACGATCATCGCGCGGGAATAACCGGGGGTGGCCGTGTTCACGTACGGACAATATAAGAAATTACCATTACGAGCTTTCGAGGATTATTATTTGTCGATTATGAATTTTTCTTCTCTTTTCTTGTATAGGAAATAGAATAAAAAAAAAAAATATAATCGTATATGGCGATAAAGAAATAATTAATTCTCAGTTTCATCAGCTGCAAGGCACGAGATTTCAAAGAACATTTCGTAAAAGGAAATTTACTTTTCCACGTCACCGAGACGATTTCCATTATTATTTCTTTTTAAAAAAACTAGAGTATGTAAAATCTTATCGGTAGGTAGGTAATCGGTAGGTGAGGCATAGGTTGAACTGTAAATAGTTTACAAAAGTAAAAATCGTACAGCCGAATACTCCCGAGTAGTCGTAAAAATGTTTGTTACGCCGCGCCGGGAAGAATTCACGTGTACATATTTGGTAGTCGCACCGCTCGAAATACTATAAATAACAATTAAAGTATTCTAATTCTACGGAGTGCGTTGGCTCTGTATACGATTGTACTTTTCGTTACGGGTTATACTGTGACGACCCTGAGTTGATTGGCTTTTCTGCGCGTTGATATCTAAATATTGTGATCGTAGATTTAATTTATGTTCGCCTCGAGACAGTAATGACGCTTATTTTTTTATTTCTTCTTCGTTTTACCGTAGCATTATTCATTCCACGTTCTCTCTTCTTTACCACATCGTTACGCATACATTTTAATCTTCTTTCCTATCCTTCAAATCTTTGCTTATACATTATGCCAACACATACATACATACACGCAATGTACACTCACGCGCTCACGCATTTACACTCGCATGCATACACATTCCTATATGTAGAAAATATTGACTAACACGATTGCGAAAATATGAAAATCATCGGATATCGATGCCGTTAAACGTCGTTTTAACAACGTCACGTATTCTTTTTGTTTCCTCTCGTTCCGTTTTACTCGTAATTGCTAGACTCGAGCTAAAGCAAAATGAGACTACGAGAATAATGTTACGAAGAAAGGAAATTGCTGCTCGAAGGGTTAGATACATACAGTCGGTTGGTCTTTGGAGGCCCGTCGTGTATTAAAATAGGAACTTTTCTCGATCACACACGTTCGTGTTATATCGTCAACTAATTAAAATATAACGTTCTCGAACTGGAACAGTATAACAACGTGGCATTGAAACGCGAGATTCTTCTTGTCGTCGGTTTATCTCTTAGAAGAGGAGAATCAACCGATGATACAAGGTATTCTATCGGTCATTAATGTGTAAATACATACATATGCGCTATGCGTAATTAATACACATCGTTGTGAATAAATCACTACAGAAGCGAATTATCAAGTCTTTTTGTAAAACCTACTTGTTCGATTTTTATCGATCGCGTGGCAAATACACACACGCACACACGCACGCACGCACGCACGCACGCACGCACGCATGCACACATACATACACACGCACGCACAGGCATGCATAGAGATCTCCGAGGAAAATATTCTTAAATAAAATTTACTCTCGCTGTAAATCGTTTCTCCGAAAAAGTACGCGTACTCTAAGTAGTGGATAAATGTGACTCTCGTCGAACCGTGTATATGAAAAATATAAATTTTCCCTAACTATTTCCTTAGACGTTTAAATAGGAACCAATGACACGTGCTCAAATCGCTGGCGCGAAAACGAGTTTACGAAGAGAATCGAGATCGAGTACGGCGAACGAAAGGGTATGCTCAAGCGGGACTGAGTGTAAAGGAAGCAGTCAGCGCGTTACCGATTCGCGATTTCACCGGTAAATAAACCAATGCCGGTACGAATCGTTTTTCCGAGTTTGATTCCTCGCCAGCTTGCATCGTGTTTTGTTCTTCCAAGAAAAACGGCTGCATGATCGTTTTATCAGGGTTCGAGTTCATGTCTTGCGGCATCGCGTAGCAAGCTGGCATCTTATGCCTGTTGGCAACCTCTCTCAAGGTTTTGCTAAGCTCAGCGATCACGGTGTCGGTGGGATCGCCGATCGTCTTATGATCTTTCCTAACGTGCTTTTTAATTCGATTCAAATTGGTCGTGGCGTAGCCGCACTGCGCGCATTTATATACACCCTGAGAAGTGACCTGAACCGCCGTGTCCTCCTGTCGTTGAGTTTTGTTCGATTCAGGAATCGTTTGATTGGCAGTGAGTTGCTGCGGACTGTTCCCTGTACGGTCCTCTTTCGTTTCCGGATCCGATTTCTCTTTAGATTCGTTCGATCTTTCGGCGTCCAGCCCGAAATTATTAAAAACCATCGGTGGTTGAAAATGCGACAGCAACGCGGGAAACTGATGCGCCGCGAGCAAATGTCGATGCAACATTTCCGGTTGATAAAATACTTGGGAGCAAACTGGACATTGAAACGACTTTTCGTCCTCGGCGTTCTCCTGCGTGGAATTCGCGTGAGACCTCTCGTGAAGGAAGAGGAACGGTAGCACGGTCGTAGTAAAATTACAATAGGAACAATGGTAGCTTTTCAGCTGGTGGTCCTCGGAAGAGGTACTACCCAACAAATTTGAGAGTACTTGATTACCAAAACCGGTGTAATCGGCAGGTTTCATTTGCTGGGAAATTTCGAATCCATTCGGTATCTTGAGATTCGAACTTTGAACGGTCTTGGAGACATTTAATACTCTGGTCCCTGTTTTGGGCGTTGCTTGGTATTGCTGTTCCATTTCGCGCCATTTATCGATACCGATTTTCCCATGATCGCCCATCAAGTGAGCTTTCAACCATTTTATGCTGCGGAACCTTCTGCTACAGATCGGACAAACTTCCGTGAAGTGAGTAAAATATCGGTGGCTCAAGTCGCCGAGTTGTTCCGGTTTCAAAGCCGCGTCGTCGGTATTCGTGGCGTCGTGAGCCTCTTGTTTCGTCGAGCTCGGAGCGTTCTCGTCGACGATGCCGTGGGTGTTGTGCTTGTGAACGCGCAGGAAATACTTGCTGCACAATTCCTTGTTGCAAATGTTGCAGATCACGCCGCCGATCTGAGCCCCGTTCTCGATCTCGATACCGTGCATTCTCTGCATGTGCGTCTTCATGAAATACTTGTTGCACAGTTCCTTGTTGCATATCTCGCAGTAACTCGAGGTCGGCGTCATCGATGTCATCGATTTTCTCTCGGACGAGGTGGTCTGGCTGCCGAGGGAGTTTGAATTGATCGTCGCCGGGGCGGTGGATACGGCACTGGGTACGGCACTGGGTACGGCACTGGGGACGGCGCTGGGAGTATGAGGAGCCAGAGAGGAACTCGAAACCCCGGGTTGATGTTCCTCCGCGATGTGCCTTCCGAGCGCGTCCTGATTCGGATAATCTTTTCCGCAAATGGCGCAACACGCGGACGTCGCGACGGTCAGGGGTGATTTATCCAGCGGCGAGGACGCCGAGTCCTCGGCGTGTTCCGTGACCATATGAACGTGCAAACCGGCTCTGGTCTCGCATTCTTTTCCACACACGGTGCACGACGATTCTTTCCCAGTCTTTAGTCCGTTCAATTGCAACAGCATCGTCTGCAGCTTCTGGAGGTCTTCGGAGATCGAATCGTTCCGCTGTTGTTGATCCAACGATGCCGCCGTTTCCAAGTTCGACTCGTGTTTAGGCGAACGGTGTTGTTCGGATTCGTGCATCTTTCGCGAATGCGCTCGATAGAGGCCGATCGTTTGAAACCGTATCCCGCAAACTTTGCACTCGTAATCGTCCCCCGGTCGGTCGTTGGACTCTGTGCTACTGGTGGTGCTTTCCGTCACGATCAAATTCAACGGACTGGTTTGTATTTGGTGCCAGGTGACCGCCGATCCTGGATTGTTGGGCGACTTGTCGTTATCCTGTACGAGAATCCCGTGCCTCTTGCTTTTATGCGTCCTAAGGAAATATTTGTTACAGTATTCTTTACAACATATCTCGCAGAACGCGTCCGGATTTATCACCCCTAAACGACGTAGCCGATCGGCGTTAAAGCCAGCGTCCCTTGCCTGCTGAATCGATCGAGGAGATAGGTGTCTGGGCGCTGGCACGAACGTTGCATCCTCTTGTTCTACCCCGTACTCGAGCTTGAAAAGCGTTTCCATACCTCCGGGGCTGTCCCTCGTCCGCGGCGTCTCTCCTCTCTCCTCCTCGTTCACCGACAGATTAATTTCCGTATCCTGCGAATGCTCGAGCAGCAGCTCGGTGTGCATCTTTTGCTTGTGTTTGCGCATCGATTCTTCGTTTTTGAATCGTTTTTGGCAGAGATCGCACGGCACGTACGGCACGCACGGCACGCACGGCACGCACGGCACGCACGGTACGCACGGTACGCACGGTACGCTCGGTACGCTCGGTACGCTCGGTACGCTCGCCACCACGCTCGTCGTCGCCGTCCCTGCTGTTACTGGCTCTAGTTTTACGTTTCCGGTATAGATCGGAACAACAGCCGCGTTAACATCTATCGCGCTCGAACCCGGCGAATCGACGTAGATACCGTGTTTGTTGGCCTTGTGCGTTTTTAGGAAATACTTGTTGCAAAACTCTTTATTGCACAGGTCGCAGTACGCGTCTGGATTAAAGATCCTCACCGGCGCCGATCCGATCGTCGTCGCTCTGGCCATGTGACCGGAGGAGTCTGTCAGCGGAAACGCTGACAGAGGTAAATACTGCGCCAACGCGCCAGGGAACGCGCCGGTAAACGCTTGCAAATGATTAGGTAATGCGCCGCCGCCACCGCCGCCGCCACCGCCGGCGGATATTTGATTCGCAGAACCGGGCCAGAGATCGGGCTCGTTTTGCGACTGTACGTGTTGCCAGTTTGTCGCAAAGTTCTTCGCGGTAAGATAATTAACGGGAATCTCGGATTGTTCCGGTTGGCTCGCGGTCGCGATTATTTTTCTCGCGGAATTTGGGGAGCTGTTTTCTCGTTGTCGGGAACCGTGCTCGTTATCGAAGTGAACGTTCAGCGTTTCTTTGCTGTCGAAAAACTGACTACAATACCGGCAACGGAATTCGTTATCGAGATTCTCGTCGCGTATCGGTGACTGCGACGACAGCTTACCTTCGCTGTCCCCGTCCCCGTCCCCGTCACCGTCACCGTCACCGTCACCGCCACCGTCACCGTCACCATCCTCCTCCTCCTCGTCCTCGTTCGACTCATCGTTCGCGCCGGTCATCAAGCTGGACGAGAATCGTACGGGCGTTGTTTGTTTCCGCCTCTTCTTCGGCCCCGTCGAATCCGCGTCGACGCGAACGCGTTTCTTGGCGTCGCCGCGATCCCCGCAACTCGAACCGTCGCTCTCCAATTCCTCCGTCGGCTCCGACATGCTCGTTTCGCGCCCCAACGTCCAAGACATCTCCTCGGCCTTCTATGTTGCTCGCAACCTCCGCGATCTTCTCCTGCCTTTAGATCTCGTCCCTCTGTCGAATAGAACAATCCGTATCCGTTATTATATCGGTTACGTTCACGTTTTTCGCGCTCGATAATACCTATTTAACTATAGTATGTATATCTATCGGAGTATTCCCGCGTTCCATGGATCCATGGATCCATGGAACCATCTTCTATGGAGTTGACGCTTTTGAGACCCGCGATCAACGATAGCTACCCCATACTTTGCGACATGGACGTGGTTGGAAATGAGGGAGAGGTTTCGGGAACGTGCTACATGAGTCACGTATATGTATGTATACACCCATGCTTCGGGACTGGATTCGGACGATAGAAGGAATATGTACATTCCCGAAACTTTACAATTACCGATGAAACTTTACAGACCCGAACCTCTGTCACAACATATGAACGATCAATCACCGACAACCATTGATAATAACGAACAAAACGATAAACGGCAAAACGATGGATATCTACCTATCGTTGCAACGAGAGACAGACGGACGTAAATGTACCAGCCGCTAAATTTTCTTTCGCTAAAGAATAAAAAACAATGACTATGGTGTATGATGACTCTCTTACCCGTGAGTAATTTAATCCCGTGCTAAAATCGTCTGCCTTCGATTCGAGATCACCTGTCGAGCATCGCCGCTTCGAGGTCGTCCAATGAACGTCGTTAAATGTAAATAAAGCGGCTCCAAAACAACACAATTCCATCGAGCGTCGCGCGAAACTTTATCGCGCATTTTTATCGAACAAATCGCGCGTAAATATATATGTATCACTTTCTTCTTAAGGTCACCGCGAACACGACGACGTTTCTTCGAGACGTCGAGAACGTTGGGAATACGTGTGACGGGGGCACGTGTTGTGTTGTGGACGAGGGTAGGTAAATCGAGGGGCTATCTTCGGATGCTTCGGTGCTGGTGAAACGAGTTCTCGAACGAACCAACCAACGAAGCACGCGATAGAAATAATGTTACGATATCGTCGGAACGAAGGGACAAAAGGAAGGCATATTTCGGCTTCCGCATCGATCGATTAAATTTACGGACTAAAGTTCGATCAGGAGGCAAAGTCGGAGCAGAGAGATACGAATGATGACAGGGGGACAACACGAGGAGCACCTAACCCGACGAGACTCGAACGAAATTTTTAAGATCTCGAAAAGGTGCTGATCTACGATTCTTCGTAGGCTTACGCTTCCCTGGACTCTCCCAGGTTACTGTTAGGTGCAGTCACGGTGCCCTACGAAGGGCCTGTCGCATCGTTTCGTCCCTACCACCTTCCAAGAGCTACCGCACAACGAGTCCCCTCTCCCCCCGCCCCTTTTCTCCCCACCGCGGTGCTAACGAAGCCAGCAGCATTCGCTACATTTCTCGCACCGATGATTTCCGAAACGATCGGATCGATTTCGCCGCGACTCAAAAACGAATCATCACCGAACGAAACTTTTTCCTTTCTATTTAAATATCTAATCTTTATATGTATTCCCTTTGGTGCGAATTAGTCTCTATCATCTACGCATCGTTCTTCTTCGATCGATACGTATCAAGTGTATCAGGAACGATTTTATATACAATTGTGGGTAAAAATCAATCGTTCGGTAGAAAAGAACCTGTACCGACCGACTATACATGTGTATACATATTTACTCGACGAGAGGGGCGCGCCTAAAATTATCGTATAGAATTTTTGTAAGAGAAAATACGCGTAGAAAAATTGAACCGTGCGAGAAACATTTCGCTCCCAAAGATAGCGTATCTTTGAATGTATGTATTGCGTCGTTGGCGGTGCCGGGATACGCAGATACGCACGATGAAAATATGTATTGTATACGCGGCGGGAGGGCACCGTTTAAGAATCGAAAGGTCGGTCTTTCGCCGCCTCGGAACGTGAAAATTGGATTATCGGTAGTTGAAAATATGTTGTACGAACAGAGTACACGAGGGGAAAACCCGCATTATCGGCAACTTTTGACGGATATTGGAAAAATTCGCGTAAATACGCCCGTATAGCCCGGTCGATGTTTTCATAGATATTTCGGGGTAAGCCTTTGCACCGTTTCTGGTTAAAATTGGATGAATGACGGCGAATGAATTGGGAAGGGGAATTTCTGGTCGTTCTCGAAAGGGTGTCGAGAAAAACATGTTGTTAAAGAGTAGAAAGCACGCGACTGTAGGGGGTTGGTTCGGGGAGAAAAGGTATTGTCGCGAATGTTGCATATGCCTTTTCTCCGCTCCCTTGAATCGTTTCGCGGGAATCATTGCGTGGGCGTATCACGCGGCCCGATGGTAAACAATATTTCGACCCGCGAAAATAACGATGCCACGACCGAGCAACATATGCTGCTGTGCCGTGGACGCTCCTACACTCTCAACTCGCAGCTGACTGCTTATCGTGTCGTGGAAACGATGCCACGATAAATAATGCGTTTTGGCTAGGGTGATGTAATTAATATCGAATGCGATGCAATCGATACAGAATTCTCGATGAACGGTACGTTCTACGTAGTTATAGCACGTTGATGGTTCTCTTGGTGCTAAAGCATCGTACTGCGTAAGTAGGTAAGTACACGAGAAACACTCCCGAGTCTAGGGATCGGTACTTACGTAATCCAAGTACCAAGAAGATAAGATTGCCAACAACGTTTATTGGATTCAACGACCAACGAATGTCCGCTGATAGAACCAGGAATTTCTCGAATCGATAAGCGGACGCGAGAAGGGTGAATTATACAAGTTCCGTGCGGGTCGTTCGATCATCCCTGTTCTCGAAGTCGAAAGAAAAGCTCGCGAACTTTTTGCGTTGGTCCCTCGCGTGCGTGCGTGCGTGCGTGCGTACGTGCGTACGTGCGTACGTGCGTGCGTGCGTGTGAGCGCAAGTGCGTTTATATGTGATTTTAGTAGAGGCCTATTGATCGAGCGGCGAACTTTGCTGGTTCGCACACGCGCATAAGTTCGACCGTAAACAAGACAAATATCATTCGCGCTAGTCTCGAAAATCTATCCGGCTATCCTCTTTTCTTTAAACGTTCGACTCGATTTCATCCGCCCCTTTTCGACCATCTTCGCGACGTTCGCTCGCGTTGGAATCACGACTCGTCGACGACTGGCCAGATCCGTTCTTCTTAGTAAATTTTCCTAAACACATACTTGTCCAAGCAACCAATTTCTTCAACGTATACGCGTATTACGATATCTCCGAATTCGGTGCTTGGAGTCGAAATCGTTACGTCTCCGTTGTTATTCCTTAAATTTGTTGTTTTTTTTATAATCCGTTGGAAAAATGTTCTTTTTACGCGTTGCGTTCGAAATTGAAAGGGAAAAGGAAAAGCGTTTGCATGCTATGACGTATTCGTACCTGAAATCGCGAAGCTATGGTAAAAGGTGTGATTCGCATAAAGGTGGGGATCGTGGAAAGTTGGATCTGCGCAATGCGTGTCGTCGGATGAACCACGTGGAGTATTCGCATGCAAAAGACGTCGGTGGATATCGCGCGGTCTTTTAGTCGTCCCCGAATAGGCAACGGTGTCGCGTCGTTTTACAAATTCCAACGCCGATAGTCTCCGAAATTCCTATTTTCATTTCAAACGATCGACGCAACGATCGAAGCAACGACCGAAGCAACCAAACGCGCTACTCGAACGAACGTTTCTAATTCGTTACGAAAAATGTTGGCTAAATTGCAAAGCTCGTCCGTCGAAAGCTTAACGCGCAAAGTTGTATGTTTACGGGCTCGTGTACCAAACCCACGAATCGTAATTGTTAACAACGCATCGATTAGGGATTTAAAATCGTTGAATGAAAGCCGAATGACATCGTACGACTGCAAACACGGGAACAACACTTACCGTAATCAGCATCGATTTGCCCACGCGAAAGAACCAAAAATATTCGCGTACGGCTGATCCATTGCCGTTATCCATTTGTCAATTATCGCGATACGATGATGAATCGTTTTCACTGAACGAGGCACGGGTAACGCGACTGATAACGACGATAATGTCACTTTATTCACTGCGCACTAGAAATACCAGAGAGAAATAATGGGAGAACGTTCGAAAAGAAACTCGATTGTCGTCGGGAGTGAAATCGAAACTGAAAATTAGTAAAATGGGAAGTAAATAAGAATAACGAGGGTTAAGAATTCCAAGCAAATGTCTACGGGTCTCTCTACTTACTATTGTTTTGGCCATCGTGCCACGATGGCGGCCATACTTGATATGAGAAAGTATCCCCCACATTGTCCACGGCCATCTACTAATTCCCCCATACACCCCCGCGCTGATTCAACCCCCCTCCTACCTCCCCTCCCCAATCCCCGCTACTCCCGCCATACCCTCGCTTCTAGTCCCCCCAACTGACTCACCCCTTACTCCTTGCCACCCTCTTTCAAAGCCAGGAACGACGTCTTGCTAGGCACCGCTGGTTTCTTACATTTTCTTCGAATACGTTTCGTAAAATTTCCAGATTTTCAACGAATCAAGGAAGGTTACGACACCGTCGTACTTTTTACCAAATCAAAGGGGTTCGCTTTCCATTAGGATTGATCGCAGAATCGATGTGAAAATCGCATCGTGAATCGTTGCCAAGGGATTCGGTAAAATAAGCAACGTCCGAGTAAGTAATTTCGAAAAGGTCGAAAAGGTCGAGAAATTCTAGCCAAAGTTTTTGTTCGATGGAGAGAAAAGCAAGCGTGTATAGGGTAAGGACGAAGGGTGTCCCGTGGCGCGTAGAGCCGTCACTGGCAAAGTCTTTCTTCTTCGTTAAGACGCTTCCTCTTCTTCTCTCGGACTACGCACCTGCACACGCGTGCGTTAAAAAAGAAGCGTGCGCGCTCGCGTAAGTACGTACGCAGCCACACGCAGACACGCGTCTCTCTGAGCTATCACCGACTCCCTCGCGACTCAGCACGAGCAGTTTTTCACCC